TGTTATAAAAATTAATAACAAAAAAATTAATGATGGGGCTGTGGTTGTAGCTCAGTGCCTAGTATGTGTGGGGCACTGGGTTTGATCCTCAGCACCACATAGAAAATTAAGTAAATAAATAAAATAAAGGTATTGTGTTCATTAACAACTAAAAAAAAAAAAGAATGAAAGAGAAAGAATGCAAATATTCCAATAGAAAAATGGTTAAAGGATATCAGCAGGCATTTCACAGAAAAGAAACACTAATAACTAATACATTCTTAACTGAAAAAATTAAAAGAATATTTCAAAGGAGACCAGCAGATACTCAGTGCTGGTGAAGGTGTGGGGAAGTAGGCACTCTCGTGCCTTGTTGTGGGGGCATAAATTGGACCATTTGGCAAAATCAAGACCTAGATTTCAACTACCATTTAATGTAGTGCAGTCACATGATTGATTCTTTTCCCTTCACTCACAAGTAACATTCAGTACCACTGAGACAGACACCGTCTGATCCCTCTGCAGCTTGCAGGTAAAATTGACTCCATGGTCATTTTCACTGATGGAGGAGACACAGACAGAACTGGAGTTGATATTGTTTCCAGGTTTCAAGTCCACTCTCCCATCTTCTCTGTACCAGAGAAGTTCTTCGTCTCTTGTGTGGTTTTGAACAACACACTCCAGAGATGCTTGGAAGCCACGTTGAGTATCCAGAACATAGTTTTCCGTTTTACCATTCACAGTTAAAACAGAACTACCTGGGAGTATAGGAAGATACATATTAAGGTATGCCGAGTGAACAACCTAGAATATTCATCAATAGGGGATTGGTTAAATAAATTAAGTTACATCAGTGCAACAAAATGTCCTCTCAACCATTAAAAATAGTCCTGTTGATCTATGTGACTTTACAAGGAATCGATTCATAATGTATTATTCATTAAAAAGAAAATGATTAAAAATGGTGGTTGGGCTGGGGGTATAGCTCAGTTGGTAGAGTGCTTGCCTTGCATGCATAAGGCCCTGGGTTCAATCCCCAGCATCACAAAAAAACAACAACAAAAAATGGTGGTCACCAAATTTTGCTGCACTTTGAAATCACCTTCAGCTCTATATGTGTGTGTGTGTGTGTGTGTGTGTGTGTGTGTGTGTGTGTTACTTGGAATCCAGGGCCTCAACATGCTAAGCAAAGCACCCTACCACTGAGCTATAACCCCAGCCCCTTTAATTTTTTTTTTTTTTTTTTTTTACTTTGAGACAAGGTCTTGCTAAGTCGCCCAAACTGGCCTTGGACTTGTGATCCTCTTTCGATTACAGGCATGCATCACCATGCCTAGCTCACCTGGAGATTTTTTATAAAGTCTTGATGCCAGACTTTCATCACCAGACAGCCAACCGATTGACATGAGTACAGGCTGGGCAATGGACTTTTAATTTTTATTTTTTACTTAATTTTTTACTTTTTAAAAATAAATATTTTTCCAGATTTTTAAATTTGTGCATACTAATTATACCTAATAGTAGGATTCACTGTTACATATTTTAAAAATGCACACAATATAACAATATTAATTTGTTCAATTTTATTCCCCAGGCATTGGGYTTTTTTAAAGCCCCTCACTCCAGGTAATTCTAATGTGCAGTGACATTTAAGAACTACTGAATTAAAAACCAGAATATACAGAATAATCCCCAAATGATCCTTTATACATATATATGTATATATAAATAAATATATACCCATTGTGTGTGTATATAGATACATATATGTAATCTATATATTTATGGGGAAAAGCTTGAGAAGAAATCTTACATATATTGACCAGGATTTTTTAAAGTAGAGAAAAAAAATCAGAGAAGTACTTATCAGACTTAATTCGTTTAATTCAGGGGCTAGCAGTAGGAAATTAAGGGAGTGGAAATAGGGAAATAAAAAGGAAAAAGCACTATAGAAAAGTGGAAAATTATTTAAGGCATAACATTAGGTGAAAAGGCAGAATATGCATTAAATCTCTGATAATTACCACAAGTGTATCAAAATTGAATATGCATAGTAGCAGAAAATACTTGAAACTGCTTTTCTGATCACATAATGAGATTATAGACAAATTGTTCTTGCATTTCTGATGTTTTGACACTGTTTTGGCAGTGAGTAAAATAAAAAGATGTTTAAATAGTAATGATTTGTGGTATAGACAAGTTTTTTCTGGGGTGAGTGATCAGGATATATATACTTGTTTTTCCCCTTCAGCTCTAATTTTTAGAAATCCCTTCATTATGTGGCAATAATTGTGAATTTCAGCTTTGATTTTCCTGGTTCAGAAGAAAATAACAAAAGTTAGAATTTTAACTGCCATAATCCTGCCCCCTCATAATATATGTTAATATATTCTGTAAATATTGTCCTTTTTATTTTGGATTGAATCCAGGGCAAGCATTCTAACRCTGAGCTAAAGCCCCCACCCCAATTTGTCTTTTAAAAAGCATAAGCCTTTGGTAAAAATAATGGGATTGTGGCTTACTATCAAAATGTTGAATGGTTACCTCTGGATAATGGGATTTCAGGGAATTTTTACTTTTTTTTTTTTTTTTTTGGCAATGCTAGGAATTGAATTCATGACTTTGGACATGCTAGGCAAGCACTCTCCCACTAAGTTACATTTGAAGCCCTTCTTTATTCTTTTATAGAGTACCTAATTTATTTTTAATTTTTTGGCATTTGGAATTGAAGCCAGGGCCATACACATACTAAGTACTCTACCACTGAGCCCCTTGCCTCATTTCTAGTACCATGATTATGTACTTCTTTTAAAATCCAGAGATGGAAGAAGCTATTTCCAGTTGGGGGTGGGARAAAATTGCAGAAAAGACTCTCCTGTATGTTCAAATGAGATTACCAAAATGCATTAAAATGTAGGAACAGTTCAGCCCTAACTCTGGAGAGAATAAGGTACTTCGCCTTGTCTTGTACTATCAAAACCACAAAACCAATATTTTTCCACTTAATTTTTTATTATGTTGYCTGTCATTTGTACTGAGTCATACCAACTGTGTACATTCCAAATTGGAATTCAAGGATGTACTCAATATCCATCCATCAGGTTTTTAATCTGAAATTTTTCTTTATCGAAAAAGAAGCCAAAGACAATATTAACTTACTTGTTATCTCTCGTGACAAAAATAAAATTGTTGTGAGGAGTAATATGTACACTTGCATTAGACTGCTGCTTTTCTGTGCCATCCTTAATGAACTCAGGTCGGATCTGCTATGGGAAAAGAATGCAGTTRGTTCTGTACTTTGGTCTACAATGAGTTTATGAACCTTCTTCCTGTCTACGAGGCATTTAAAATAGAGTCCCAGATGAGTCATCCCAGCTATAACGGTACTACTTTTAGTTTTTAATTAAACAACTCTGTTCTGATTAAGTTCAAAGTACTTTTAGTATTAAGAAAAWTTTTTTTTCAGGCAACAAAAGGAAAACCACAAGGAAATAGGCCATAAGATATGGGGCAGCCCTGGGGGAAAATAAAAACCAATCTTCCCTAGAGAAATTGACAGAACAACATTTTAAMAGAAAGAGAAATGAAATTTCCTTCATTCTCAGATGGGCCTTACTAAACAAAGTARCTTGTTTTGAAAGACTTTCTTGATTATCTTTGATCATTTTGTTCTCTGGACAAAAGGAGTTTTGTTCTGTTTCTT